CTGTCCCTCAGCTCTTAAGCTCAAGGCTAGCGCTCTACCACTTGAGCTACAGCACCACTTTGGTTTTCTGGTGGTTTATTGGAGATAGGAGTCTCACAGACTCTACTGCCCGGGCTGTCTTTGAACTGGGATCCTCAGATCTCAGTCTCCTGAGTAGCTAGGATTACAGGTGTGAACCACTAGCACCTGGCTCTTCTTCTTCTTTTTTTTTTTTTGTCAGTTGTGAGGCTTGAGCTCTGGGCCTGGAGGAAATCAGCTCTTCAGCTCAAGGCTAGCACTCTACCACTTGAGCCACAGTGCTGCTTCCAGCCTTTTCTGCTTATGTGGTGTTGACGAATCGAACCCAGGGTCTAATGCATGCAAGGCAAGCACTCTACCACTGAGCCACCTTCCCAGCCCTGTTTTGGACTTTTGATCTGGGTCTCACTAGGTAGCCAAGGTTCCCAGTCATTCTGTTTAAGCTTCCCAAGTGCTGGGATTACAGATAGGTGCCACCATGCCCAGCAGAATAAACACGTGAAGACCTAAATTAGGGTGCCAATGATACACAGATGATTCTTTTTTTCATTTGTGTCGCAGGAGATGAAGAAGAAGAAATGGAGCATCAAGAAGAAGGCAAAGAGCAACTTTCAGAAACGGAAGGCAGTGGTGACGATGAGCTGGGGGATGACCCCAGTGAATCTAGCCAAAAGCCAGGCAAAGGACAGCCATGCCCCCAGAGACTTTTTACCTTCAGTCTTGTGAACTCCTATGGGACGGCTGACATAAATTCACTGGGAACCGATGGAAAGCTACTCAAACTCAACTGTAAGACCTTCCTCTGACCTCTCACCACTGGGCTTTGGGGACATAGCATCTCTGAAATCCTTGCATGGATACTTGGTGTATCAGCCCTGCACAGTCTCGGTGTGACTCCAGAAGCAGAGGCTGGAATGGTGTTTGGATGAGAGCTCCCTACGGAGCTGCCTCTCCCTCCCTCCACCTCACTGTCATCATCTTCAGCCTGTTCTCCTTGGGTCCTTTGTGGCCTCAGAAGGAAGCAGATGCAGTTGCTCCTTCCTCCCGCCCCACGCCGTAGGCCCTTTGCTGTGGATCAGATATAAATCATGTAGCCAACCAACGTTGCCAGCAGCATTTCCCTGAGTGCATTTTTCACTAGAAAGAAAAAAATACCTATTTCTTTTGCTCCCTAAAAATATTCATGGGAATGTGACCAATCCAGAGGTTGGTCCTAGGTTTTCGGGGTTTTTTTTGTATTTTTTTTTTTGTTTGTTTGTTTGCCAATCCTGGGGCTTGAACTCAGCACCTGGGCACTGTCCCCTGAGCTTCTTTTGCCTAAGGTAGCACTCTACCACTTGAGCCACAGCACTGCTTCTGTCCTTTTCTGTGTATGTGGTACTGAGGAATCAAACCCAGGGCTTCATGCATGCTAGGCAAGCACTGTACCACTAAGCCACCTTCCCAGTCTCATGGACCTGGATTACTGTAGATAACCTACATGGAGTCGTGCACCAGTAGGGACAGCTGTAGGAATAGGAAGAGGCATCCAGCTGATGTGGATATGTGTCTTTGGGGAACAAATTAGTTAACTAGCCAGGCACTCTTGGGCTACCTTGCTCCCCCCCCTTTTTTTTTTTTGTTATGGGGCTTGAACTCTAGGCCTGGGCGCTGTCCCTCAGCTCTTCAGCTCAAGGAGAGCGCTCTACCACTGGAGCCACAGTGCCATTTCCAGTTTTCTGAGTGGTTTATTGGAGATAAGAGTCTCACGGACTTTTCCTGCCCAGGCTGGCTTTGAACCCTAATCCTCAGATCTCAGCCTCCTGAGTAGCTAGGATGACAGACATGAGCCACCAGTGCCCAGCAACATGGGTATTTTTATCTGTTTTGTTAGGGTTTCTAATGATTGAAGATCTGGTCCCTTGTTACTCCATCTTGACCTGTGCATGCCTTGACAGAATTCTTGGTTAATAGTGCCTCTAGAGATTATTCTGAAACACTGAAGAAGTCTTTGCTAAAAACCTCTTGGGAGCTAGGGTTCAGAAGGGCTGGCCCAAGGCTACGCAGTTAGTTGATGGTGTGTGAGCAGGGGTTGGCGGTTCTGCCAGAGGTGGCGCTTCTCACTCAGGTCTCCTGTGTCTCTAGCCATTCTGTAATGAGCAACACTTTGTTCTCTGCAGCTCGATCCACACTGGCCATCGACTGGAACAGTGAGACCCGGAGCCTTTACTATGATGAACAAGAGTCTGAGGTAGGTCATTGGGTTTCCCGGTCAGTGGCCGTGTGCCTGTTTCTGCACTGGATATGCAGTAATAACATGCTCTCCAGTTGCACAGCAACATAACAAGTTAGAATTAAGTTTGAGAATGATGGATGGGGAATGAGTGCTTGCCTAGCATGCGTGAAGCCCTGCATTCCATTCCTCAGTACCACATCCACAGAAAAGGCCACAAGTGGTGCTGTGGCTGAAGTGGTAGAGTGCTAGCCTTGATTAAAAGAAGCCCAGAGGCAGTGTCTAGGCCGAGAGTTCAAGCCCCAGGACTGCCAAAAATAAAAATAAAAACTATACACACACACACACACAGAATGAGAATATGAGTTGGGTGATGATGGGTCACATCTGTAATCCTAGCTGTTGAAGAGGTTGAGTTCTAAGCCAGCCAGGTCGGGAAAGTCCCTTTGAGACTCTTAGCTCCAGTTAACCACGTAAAAACTGGAAGTGGTGCTGTGGCTCAAAGTGGTAGAGCGATAGCCTTGAGCAGGAAACATCAGGGACAGTGCCTTGGCCCTTGGGTTTAAGCTCCATGACCGACAAAAAGAAAATAGAAAAAGCTAGAAGTGGCCCAAGTGGTAGAGTGCTAGCCTTTAGCAAAAAAACAAAAACAAAAAAAACTTAAGGATAGAATGCAGGCCCTGAGTTCAAGCCCCAGAAGTCACACACACAAGATTGAGAATGACCAAGATTTAGTTATTTTTAGAGTCAGAGGCTCCAAAAGTGTATATTCCAGGCAGAAAGCCTCTGTAGGCCTCCTTATGATGTTTCTTTGCTTTTTTTTTTTTTTTTTTTGTCCAGTCCTGGGGCTTGAACTCAGGGCTTGACCACTGTCCTTGAGCTTCTTTTGTTCAAGGCTAGGGCTCTCCCACTTGAGCCACAGCGCCACTTCTGGCTTTTTCTGCTTATGTGGTACTGAGGAATGGAGCCCAGGGCCTCATGCATGTGAGGCAAGCACTCTACCACTGAGACACCTTCCCAGCCCTCCATATAATGTTTCTGTAAGAGAACTCATCCCTTCATTCCTCGCAGGCTTTTGACAAGCACGTGAGCATGTTACAGCCCCAAAAGAAGAAGAAAACCTCAGTGGCTCTGAGAGATTGCATCGAGCTCTTCACCACCATGGAGACTTTGGGAGAGCATGACCCTTGGTACACAGTGCCCCCCCAAACCCCATCTATTTCTGAAGATCTAGATCTATGGGAGTCATCCATGTGCACCAAAACCCTTCTACTTGCATGTGCCATTTTGTATGGATCGTGTTTTCTAGACTTAAGAAAGTTGTCACCCTGTTTTGGAAGGCTGGACTCCCTCCCTCTCCCGTCCCCCTCTCCCCTCACACAGCCAGAAGTAGTGGGTGTGGTGCGCCACCTCCAAGACAAGGCAGCTGGAGTGACATTGCAGGGGCATGCCCTAAGCGACATTTCTCCCTGCTGCTTTGCTAAGTAAAAGGCTTCTCGCTCTTCAGGTACTGTCCCAATTGTAAGAAGCACCAGCAGGCCACAAAGAAATTCGACCTCTGGTCCTTGCCCAAGATCCTGGTGGTCCACCTCAAACGTTTCTCCTACAACAGATACTGGAGGGATAAACTGGACACTGTTGTGGAATTCCCAGTCAGGTAGGTGACCGGGAGGAAAAGTAAACAAGCAGGCAGGGGCCTGGGCACGGTACGGTGGCTCATATCCATAATCCCCGCTCTTCAGGCTGAGATAGGAGGATCATGGTTCCAAGCCAGCATGGGCAGCAAAGTTAACCATCCAACAAACCAGAAGCAGAGTGGTGGCTCAAGTGGCAGAGAGTTGGCCTTAAGCAAAAAAATGCTTAGGGCCAGGCTGGGAAGGTGGCTCAGTGGTAGAGCGCTTGCCTTGCATGCATGAGGCTCTGGGTTCGATTCCTCAGCACCACGTAAGCCAGAAAGAGCTGGAAGTGGCACTGGGGCTCAAGTGGTAGAGTGCTAGCCTTGAGCTGAAGAGCTGAGGGACAGTGCCCAGGTCCAGAGTTCAAGCCCTAGGAACAATTAAAAAACACACACAAAACAAAACAAAAAACCCCCAAGAATTGGGAATGTGGCTTAGTGGTAGAGTGCTTGCCTAGCATGCATGAAACCTGGGATTCATTTCCTCAGTGCCATGTAAACAGAAAAGGCCACCAGTGGCACTGTGGCTCAAGTAGTAGAGTGCTAGCCTTGAGCAAAAGAAGCTCAGGGACAGTGCCCAGGCCCTGAGTTCAAGCCCCCCAAGTGGCCAAAAAAAAAAGGAAATCTTGCTACTGATTGGCTGAGAGATCTGGCCGCTCATTGGCTGAGAGGTTTGTCATACAGGGACTTCTCAGTTAGAATGTGGGTGCTGGTAATGACCCCTTTCCCCCAATTCTACCATGGATGTGGAAAAGACTCCAGCAGATGTACTTCTTCTCTAAGTTCACAGTATGCTGCCGACCATCTCTGCTCCTGCCGGTCCCCCTTTTGAACCTCGCTTGCCATTTAACTGGTCTGCTTCTCCTGTCCATCTTCAGTGTCAGCAATCCTTGCCTCAGCAGGTGCAGCACAGTCCCAGTGCTGCTGCTCATTAAAGGAGGCAAAGCAGCTAGAGAGAGCTGGATTATTAACAGGGCTGCAGGAGGGGGCATGCAGTCCTCTCCCTGGGGGCTGGGACTAGGACTGACCAGCTCACTCCGGGCTCCTTGGACCCCAAAGAATTGACTACAGCTGAGGCAGGAAAGTAAGTCAGCCAAATAGGAGGGTTCAACAGGCTTTCTAGGGGCTGGGAAGGTGGCTCAGTGGTAGAGTGCTTGCCTTGCATGCATGAGGACCTGGGTTCGATTCCTCAGTACCACAGAAGCAGGAAAAGCCGGAAGTGGCACTGTGGTTCAAGTGGTGGAGTACTAGCCTAGAGCTGAGGGACAGCGCCCAGGCCCAGAATTCAGGCCCCATGACCGACAAAAATAAATAAAAATAAAATGTTTTCTAGGGGGAAATGAATAGATAACATGAAAAACAGCGCTGTCCATGTCAATTGGAGAATCTAGTGGTGGGTAATAAATATTTTTTATTTTCGGGTCCCATTGTGGGCCTGAACTCTGGGCCTGGGCGCTGTCCCTCAGCTCTTCAGCTCAAGGCTAGCACTCTACCACTTGAGCCACAGCGCCACTTCCGGCTTTTTTTTTCTGCTTATGTGGTGCTGAGGAATCGAACCCAAGGCTTCATGCATGCAAGGCAAGCGCTCTACCACTGAGCCACCTTCCCAGCCCAGTAAAAGTGTATTTTAAGAGTTGGAGGCATGGCGCACTTGGTAAAGTGCTAACCACTGAACAAAAGCATCAGGTACCAAGTTTGAGTCTTGGTCTCTTGACTTTTAAAAAATACATTTTTTTAATTGAAAATAAAATGTAGAAAGTAAGCTTTCAGGGCCTGTTGTGCCATTTAATTTTAATCACTCCACCCGAGCTGTAATTATATTAGTAACAGACACTCCTCACCCAGTTACTGAAGCCCTGTATTGTCTCTAGACTTTTTTTGTTGGTCATGGGGCTTGAACTCAGCCTGAGCACTGTCCCTCAGCTCTTCAGCTGAAGTCTAGTGCTCTACCTCTTGAGCTACAGTGCCATTTCTGGTTATCTGGTGGTTTATTGAGAGAAGTGTTTCACAGACTTTCCAGCCCAGGCTGGCTTTGAACCACAATCCTCAGATCTCAGCCTCCTGAGTAGTTAGAATTATAGCCGTGAGCCACTGGTGCTCACCTTCTTTTTTTTTTTGCCAGTCCTAGGGCTTGAATACAGCACTGTCCCTTATCTTCTTTTTGCTCAAGACTAAAGCACTCTACCACTTGAGCCAAAATGCCACTTCCAGCCTTTTTTGTTGATGTGGTACTGAGGAATCAAACCCAGGGCTTCATGCATGTGAGGCAAGCACTCTAGCATTAAGCCACCTTCCCAGCTCCGTCTCGAGACTCTGTGTGCCCATGTCACAGTGAGCCGGAGCCTTCTGCTAGTGTCTGATTGGAATATACTCAGAACCCTGGGGCTGGCTCCTCTCTTCATTTATTTCTTCTCAAATAGTTTTTGGGTTTTATTTTGGTCCGGTCATGGGCCTGAACTCTGGGCCTGGGTGCTGTCCCTCAGCTCTTCAGCTCAAGGCCAGCGCTCTACCACTTGAGCCACAGTGCCACTTCCGGCTTTTTTTCCCCCTGCTTATATGGTGCTGAGGAGTAGAACCCAGGGCCTCATGCATGCAAGGCAAGCATTCTACCACTGAGCCACCTTCCTAGCCCCTCAAATAGTTTTTTTTTTTTTTCTTTGTCGGTCGTGGTTTGTTAACTCTGGGCCTGGGCACTGTTCCTCAGCTCTTCAGCTCCAGGCTAGCACTCTACCACTTGATCCATAGCGCCACTTCTGGCTTTTTCTGCTTATGTGGTGTTGAGGAATAGAACCGAAGGCCTCATGCATGCAAGGCAAGCGCTCTACCACTGAGCCACCTTCCCAGCCCCTCAGGTAGATTTTTGAGGGCTACCTGTGTTCTGGCCTCTTGGATGAAAGGAGTTGCGAGGTTACTCTGACTTCTTTGAGTTGAACATAGTTAAGCGCTGTTCTTGTGTTTTATGCTCAGAGGTCTGAACATGTCCGAGTTTGTCTGTGACCTATCAGCAAGGCCTTACGTGTATGACCTCATAGCTGTGTCCAATCACTATGGAGCCATGGGAGTTGGCCACTGTAAGTATTGGCACCTCCCCTTCCTGTCTCCCTTCCTTTGCCAGTCCTGGCTTACAGCCTCTCCCTGCATGCCAGACACTACTTTTAAGCACTGCTGAGTGGTTCCATGGCCTCAGCCTTCAGTACTGTTGTCCACCATTCTTTCCACTTTGACTTACTCTTGAATTTCATAAGCTCACCTGTGGGAATCTGTCCTGTGGAAATGACTTGCCATTTGGGGAAAAGCTTTATGCCCAAAGATAAGAGTTTCATGGACTTTGCTGCCCGGGCTGGCTTTGAACCACAATCCTCGGATCTCAGCCTCCTGAGTAGCTAGGATGACAGGTGTGAGCCACCAGCTCCTGGCTACGCTTCATCCTCTTGCTTCAGCCTCCCTTGTATTGGACTTACTAGTATTAACACGACACCATGCCTGGCCAATTATTTGCAAGTAACTGAGTACCAGTTCTGTAGCTGTACCTGTGGTTTTGTTGGCTTATTTGTGATGCTGGGCATTAAGCCCAGGTCTTTGAATATGCTAGGCAAGTCCTCTACTAGACAAGCTACATATCTAGCTAACCGAACATGCATAGATTTGACTCCGTGTTTTGTTATTTTCATTGTCAGTTATGGGGCTTGAAGTCAGGGCCTGGGCGCTTTCCCTCAGCTCTTTGGCCCAAGCTCTACCACTTGAACCACAGTGCTACTTCCAGTTTTCTGAGTGGTTTATTGGAGATAAAGAGTCTCATGGACTTTTCCTGCCCGGGCTGGTTTTGAACTCGATCCTCAGGTCTCAGCCTCCTGAGTAGCTAGGATGACAGGTGTGAGCCACCGGCTCCCAGCTCCCTGAGCTTTTTTGCTCAAGCGCCACTTCTTGTTTTTTGATGGTTAATTGGAGAAAAGAGTCTCATGGACTTTCCCAAGCCCAGCCTGGCTTTGAACCATTATCTTCAAGTCTCAGACTCCTGAGTAGCTAGGATTATAGGCCTGAGCCATCAGTGCCCGGCTTTGATGTTTATTTTTGTGAGGCAGGGTCTTGCTCTATAGCTCATGCCTGCCTGGGACTCAGTATCCACCAGCCTCAGCCTCCTGACTGCTGGGATTACAGGCATACATACTTTAGGATAATCATGTGTGCACTCATACATGCCAATACTGGGGTTTGAACTCAACCTCACAGCCCTAGCTTAACTTTTTCTGCTCAAGGATGGTGATCTAACACTCAGGCCACGCCTCCATTTTTTGCTGGTTAATTGGAGATAAGAGTCTCTCATTTGTTTTGCCCAGCTGGCTTTGAACTGATTCTCAGATCTCAGCCTTCTGAGTAGATAGGATTACAAGTGTGAACCACTGATGCCCAACTCAAATGAAGTCTCACATTTATGCCTACTGTTGGTCTGGATTATGATCCTCCTATTTATGTGTCCCAAGTAGCTAGGATGGGCCCAAGACTAACTGGTAGTAGATGCCACCATGCTGAGCTTTTTATTGATTGAGATGGAGTCTTGCTAACTTTTTGTCTGGTCTCAAACTGTGATCCTCCCATTTTATTTATTTTACTTTTATCAGTTGTGGGGCTTGAACTCTGAGCCTGGGCGCTGTCCCTTAGCTCTTCAGCTCCAGACAAGTGGTCTACCACTTGAGCCACAGTGCCACTTCCAGTTTTCTAGTGGTTTCTTGGATATAAAAGTTTCACGGACTTTTCCTGCCCTGGCTGGCTTTCAACCACGATCCTCAAATCTCAGCCACCAGGTAGCCAGGATGACAGGCATGAGCCACCAGCGCCCGGCTGATCCTCCCATTTATTACCCTCCTGAGTAGCTAAGATTACTGATGCCTAGCTTCTGATCATAGTCATTTCTTAAAATTGATTCAGATATTTTTCTTTTTTGGATTAGTTTCCCCCAAATTGTAGAGTTTAAAACCTTGGTCTCCAACAGCTCCATTTTTATTCTTTAGAGCTTTTTTGTTTGGGTTTTTTTTTGTTTGGGTTTTTTTTTTTTAACTGTATTTTTTTTTGTCTTTTCTTTTTTGGTACTGGGGATCGAACCCAGGACGTTGTGCTTGCTAGGCAAGCGCTTTGCCACTGAGCTACATCCCAGCCCTAGAGCTTTTTTGAAAAGGGACAGATTAGGAAAAAAAAATGAGCCTTCTTTTGGTTGTTGACACAAAACTAAATGATTTTGCATTTCAGGGTTTCTATTTTGAGAGTTTCTGTTGTGTTTATTTAGTGCAAGCCTAATAAAGTAGCTCGATTTCTCCTGTGACTGACAGAGCATTTTATTTGATACATGCAGACACTGCATATGCAAAGAACAAACTGAATGGGAAATGGTACTACTTCGACGACAGTAATGTTTCTCTGGCCTCTGAGGACCAGATAGTGGTGAGTATACCTACTCTGAAACCTGCTTCTTCCTCTCGCCTTTATATCCAAGCTGGGAAGGGTCTCTCAGGCCATTTGGTTAACTCCTAATCCTAACATGACAGGGGCACTGGGTACACTAGAGACATGAGACCAGCAATTCTTCCAGGATTTTTCCTAGGAGAGACACTCAGTTTCCTCAAGGTTGTATGTCACAAGCTTTCTGCCTTCCCCGTCTGTCTCTGGTTAAAAGGAAGGGGCTTCATGATTCTATCCAGAAGTAGATTATGCAGGCCAAGATGGCAGGCAGTGTTGAACAGTAAGAAAAAAAGCTGGGGGGAAGTAAGTGTCCCCCTCCACTCCCCCTCCCAACTTGTGAATGGACATTTCCCTCTTCTCTTGTAGACGAAAGCTGCCTATGTGTTGTTTTACCAGCGTCGGGACGATGAGAGTTACAAGACGCCTTCCTCACTCGCCAGTTTTCCTGGTTCCTCTGAAGGGAGGATGAGGCCGAGCAACGCCCAGCAGGGTCTGGGAGACGACGAATCTTGTAGCATGGACACCAACTGACGCTGACTCAGTCCACTCCGCCACCCCCCCGCAGCAATGTCCTCTCCCATCCCCTAGGAGATGATACTGATGGCACTCTGAAGACTTGTTAATGTTCAATCTAGGAAAAAAAAAAAAAAAAACCAGATGAGAAAATTCCCCTCCTTTTATGAGAGAAGAGAGAGAGAGAGAGGGAGGAAAAAAAGACCATTTGCTCAGAAGAGTTATGTCAAGAGGCTGAATTATTTTTCTTTTTAAACAGGTGGTCAGATTAAAAAAAACAAAACCTGTGGAGCTGAGAAGTGGGGTGCGGTTTAGGGTGCACAGTGAAATACATGTCTCAATGATCCCAAAGACTGGAGAGGAACATCTTGTAATGGAATATGGTGCAGCTACGAAGACCCAACGGCAAGGCTGCTCTGAACTCCTGGGTTTCTGGTTCTGATGCTCGTATACTGGTTGCCCCAGTAGTCTGGCCACAGTAAACAGAGCCTTGAGTAAATCTTGATGTTGTCCCCTTTGTCCATTGCTGTTCACTGAGATGGGTTTAGCATTTTCTACAATCATATGAGCGGGGTGCTGGTGGCTCACGCCTGTAATCCTAGCTACTCGGGAGGCTGAGATCTGAGGATTGCTGTTCAAAGCCAGTTCAGGCAGGAAAGTCTATGAGACTCTTTTCTCCAACAAACCACTCAGAAAACCAGAAGTGGCGCTGTGGCTCAAGTGGTAGAGTGCTCGTCTTGAGCTGAAGAGCGCAGGGACAGCGCCCAGGCCCAGAGTTCAAGCCCCATGACTAACAAAAAAAAAAAAAAAAAACACAAGTTAGCTACTGAACAGCCCATTTCTGAGTCTGCTTAGCCTTTTCAGCTTTATCACAGTGACATAAAGATACTCAGTGTGGGGCTCCACCATGCCTCAATCTCTAACACTTTGAATCCGGCACTTTCTATTATGTCTCCCACTATCCTTAAGGATATCCACAGATTCTGTGGATGGGTGGGTGTAGGTGTGCTGGCCTGGGGCATGAACTCGGGGCCTTGTGCTCTTGCTTAGCTTTTTCTGTTCCAAGTGGGCACTCTACCGCTTGAGCCACCCCTCCACTTCTTTGAATCAAAGAGCCTCAGATAATTGGCCTTCAGAGTAGCTAGGATAAATGGCTGGCACCCAGCTAGAACTTTTTTTCTTTTTTCTCTTGGAGACAAGTCTTCCTGTATAGCCTAGACTTGACTTTGAACCCCTGATTTTACTGCTTCAGCCTTCAGAGTAGAGCCTGGGAGTGTGTGTCCCACCTGGCCTCGCCTTTTTTTTTTGGGTCCGGTCGTGGGGCCTGAACTCTGGGCCTGGGCGCTGTCCCTCAGCTCTTCAGCTCAAGGCTAGCACTCTACCACTTGAGC